TGATAGGCTCTGGCTTCATTTTGTTTTTGAGAGTAGGTTTCAGTCACTCCATCCCAAATCTCCTTAGCAGTATTAGCCAATAGGAAATTTTTTGCAATATGAGGTAACATAGAATTACACAGCCAGGACATTACCATGTAATTCTCTTGCACCCATCGGGAAGAGTCTGTATCAGGTTTCTTCTCCTCCCTAGTGAGATACCCTAATTTTCCATGGGCACCAATAGCCATCTTAGCTGATTGTGCCCACTCTAAATAATTTGTACCATCAAGTTTTACTATAGTAATGATCCCAGACCCCAAAATATCACTACTACCTTCAACACCCAGTCCCACAGTACCGGTGGATTTCATCTCGGTATTCCAACTCTCCATCTTACTTCAAACAGTTCAACAGTAAGAAAAAATAGATCGGAAACCTTCGAAAAACAATTTAATATCACACACACAGAAACAAACCCTTCCGGAAGAATAAAACCCTAGCTAGAGAGAAATCTCTCTCCTCCCCATGCCTCTCGATGGAGAGATGAGTGAATCGATCACTCCAGGAGGCTCAGAAAAATCCAGAAAGCAAACCACACTCTTCAGGAAATCAAAAGAATGCTAACAATACCTGGCTGCCCAAGATCAGATCAAAAACAAAGAATCCAACTTTTCTAGGACTCTTCCCCATACTCCAGTTCTTCCTGATTTTGATGCCGAACAGTAGATCACCTTCCTGATGACTAGATCCCACCAAAAAAATCCAAGAACTGGGCAATCTATAGCAGATCGATCAGCCCCTTATTACTTCATGCATTCGGCTGATCTAGGGCTGCATGAGAATGCTTCTAGAAACCCTAGCCACTGCTCTGATACCAAGTAGAAAGCTTGCTGAATTAAAAAATATGAAATAAAAGGAGTTTCTTGAAGAAATAAGGAAGAGAGAAGGAGAAGAAGATAAGAAGAGAAGTTGAAGAGAAAGGAGAGCAATAATCTGGCTGCCCCCTTCACTTATTATTTATATTAAAAATAATAGAGCAGTACAAAGACAACTATGCCCTTATAGGGTTGCAAGACATAAAACAGCATATATAAGACACAAAAACATAATAAAATTTGGACTCACATAACTACTATGGTCCCCACCTCCTATCTAACAACTAACATAAAACATTTACTCATAAAAAACATCATAAAACTGATTAATCTTCAACAGTGTTTTTTGTATTTGGGCGCCTATTCAAGGGCACCTTTGTGATTTTGCTTATGAAGAAGAAATGAAAAGTCTCTTGGTGTGATCAGTGCCACACCAAGCATTCTCAACACTTCCTTCTTCTTCTTCTTCTTCTTCTTCTTCTTTTTTTCTCTCTTCAACATCTCTAAACTTTACAACTATCCAAATTAACTGGGTTAGGAGATCTGCAAACAGTCTAGCAGACAGTTTAGCTAAGCAAGGGGTTCAGAGGCAATCTATGTTTTGGGTTCAATTGTAATAATTTGGGTTGGACTAGTTCCCTTAGTCTGTTTTTTTCACAACTTCTTGTTGTATTGCTCTTCTCTAATATTAATGAATTTTATTTTGTGTTGCTGATAAGAAAAAGTCTAAAGGCTTAATCACACGAATGCTCATAAAGGAAAAAGCTTAATTAATTGCATGAATTGAATTGTGAATTTGTTCCAAATTTTTGAAAATTTCAAATTGGTGAAAATAATTCCAGTGTTGGAAATTTTCATTGAAATTTTGTATGTGGGTTAGTCAAATAAATGTAAATGGTGACCCAGTTTTGTATGGTTGTAGTACAATTGTACATGTTGTAAAAAGGATAAAAATTCTAGGATGTTGGGAAAACTTGAAATCCATAGAACCTGGGGTTCTAGATGGAACTTTGGGATGATATTTGGATGGATGAAAAGATGCAAGAATGTATAGGAGGTTTCAAATATGGGAGGGATGAAGGATGGTTTGACACAAAAAGGCGAAATTGGCCAGGATGAGAAATTTTCATGTTTTTGATGAAAATACAAATAAAACTCACATGGATCAATTCCATTCCTTGAGAGTGTTGAATAAATGTCTTTTGATGAGATTCTTTTTTTTTTTTTTGGCGGCAAGATAAAAATGATGTATTGTATTAAAGGTAAAGGAAAATTCCACCAAAAAATAATTATAATGCCACTCCTTCAGGATGAAGGAGATGACCTCTATGTATGTTCTCCTCTATACATTGGATCCTCTTATGTACACATTAACGAAGTGTGCTTGATAGATGCCTCCAGCCCTATTTTGATCCCACTGGTCACAAAAACTTTGATACTCTAGAACATTATAATTGCTTCGTTGACAGGCCTATCTGATCGTCACCCTTCCCACTCTTCCCATTTGATCAGATGGCTGTCAATGACTTTACTGACTTCTTGAATGATTAAGAAAAAAATAGAGAGAGAAAGAAGATAGAGAAATCCTGAAATCACTCAACAGATGAACAGGGTACCTAGAATCACTCTAGAGCATGGGAATCACTTACCACAAATAGCATAAGCTGTAAGATCTATAATAAGCTTCATTCAGTTATCATTTCCACATTTTTGCACTTCACACACAAACATAATGAACAGACACTATTGGGGCGGCCAGTTCTACTAGAACTAGGAAAAAAATTTCATATTTGGCACTATCACAAGAAACTAAATAACCCCTAAGCTACTTAACCAATGGCAGAAATTTTAAATACAACCAATAGACAAGTCAAACTACTAGGCTGGACCCATAGTCAATGTGAATGACCAAAATACCCTACTGTCTAAAAATACATGAAAATTTCAGAAAATTCCATATTTGGCTCTTTGGTTTCCTGCTCCATTCTTTTACTTATTTTTATCTTTTGTCTCTTTAATTTTTGTATAGGTTTATTGCACCCATACGGCACCTGATTATTCCCTTCCTTGGCAAAAACAAAGACAATATACAAGTACAGGAAGGTATGTCTTGTGTTTTGTTGCTTTTAGTTGTCCCTGAAGAATGCTCTTTCTTTCTTATTGTGCTCTAGGTTCTTCTTTTCTTCTTTTGTAGATCTTTGCTAAGATACTCTTGTTTTTGCAGTGCTTTTATGATAGGGGATGGAAAGCTTCTGACAAATGCTCATTGTGTTGAACATGATACACAGGTATGCCTCTACATTTTCTAAAAAAGGACAAGTCAGCGGTTAGAGGCTGTGTTCTTATTTCTTCTATTTGGAGACTCATGCCTTGACTGCTCAGTTTTGTGGAAGGCACATAAGCAGACATGGGGTTTTCAATTGAGAAAAATCCAGGGGTCATTGGCCACAGAAGGTAACCTTTCACTTGCTGCTTTGCCTACTCCTGAGGAGTCAGGAGGTGAGGACTAAGGAGCATTGATAATTCTTATTTGGATTAAGCAAGATATCTGTTGATGAGTTTCTTACTTTGAAGGACAATTCTTTATTGCCAATTGTCCTAAATAGAGAACACACCTAATTTGCTTGGAGAGGAGGAGTTGGAGGTGGATGATGAAGTTTTTAGGGGATAATCTTGTGGCCAATGGATGGAAATTTTGAGAGATTGATCCTTTGGAGGATGGAGATAACTTGGAGGTTTTTATGGTTGAAGTTCATGAGGCAGGTAAGAAACTCCCCTTGGAGCAAATTGCAGATCATGAGGTGCAAATGGGAAAAGCTCTTGGGTTATTTTTTCTTGTGGAGAGGATTGTGTTAGGACTACATTCAGAAAGGAGAAAGAGAGATGGAAAAATCATAGTCAGATGAGACGTCAATGAATCGGGCTAGTGAAGGGTGCAGCAAAGAATACAACTTGGTGGGTTCCCTTTTTTTTGATTAGTGATGGTGGGTCCAAATTGTGTTGAACCAGGTGAGGTAGAGATAGAGGTTGAAAAAAAGAGGTAGAGGGAGTTGTGGTGATGGTGGTATCTATGTGTTCGCAGTCTATTGGTGGTGCCTTCTTTTTCTGCTCATAGACACAAATAATCAATTAGATAAATTGTTATTTAAGATTTTAAGTCTGAAGGTAGATAAATCTCTACCTGATGCCTTCTGTTTGTCAAAATGTTATGGTAGGTAAATAACCAACAGGCTGTGTGCCTATGTTAAAAACCTGATGCCCCCTTTATTGATTTGAGGAACTAGTCTATCTTTTGATCATTTAAAGGTCATTTGTTGGTTTTTTCTTTACTTGATTTCTTTTGACAAGTGATTTTGGTCTTGATGAAGTTACTGCATGGCTATTTTCCTTTGTAAGCTGATTATTTTGTCATTTGGTCTTGATGAACTATATAATCTTTTCCACGATTTCAGGTAAAAGTGAAGAGAAGGGGAGATGACACCAAATATGCGGCTAAGGTATCCTTTTTAATAGTAAGAATGATAATTGTGCTTTTACTTATGATTCCTATCAAAGTTGCCAAGCTTGGTGGGGTACCAACTTCCAACCAAGGTTCAAAATATCGATACACCCAATATGCCGATAGGGACGTATTGGGCGATATCGATACTGTTATTTATTTATTTTTTTCAAAACCAGTTCAGGGGGGTCGGTTTAAGGCTCCTCCACCCTCTGAATCGGTCAGAACCCCAATACACCCACTGTAGAGGCGTATCAAGGAGGTCCCAGAAAGATACGTTCCAGCCGATACGGGCCAATACGTGTCGATACTTTGAACCTTGCTTCCAACCATGATTGCATATTAGATTAGCCTTTAATCTTTAGAAATATTGGGCCAGAAGGGCCTTAGTTTATTTCAGTCTTATTTTAATATGTTTTTTTTTGTGTGTTTATGGGCCTGTTAACCTTTTTTCTTAAAGTTTATAGGCAACCACTCTGTCAAGGGTATTCATGTAAGTTACTCATTATTTGTCTCTAATCGGTTTTAATTAAGCTAATTAGGGGCTAGAGAGAGCTGTATGATCCTCTCTTCTTCTTCTCCCTCTTTCTCCCACCTTCTTCTTTTCTTCTTGCTGTGATCTTCTCTTTTCTTCTTGCTGTATTTTCTTGAATAAACTCAACACACATGTTGGTTATTTTTCTTCTTGGTATCAGAGCAGTCCAACCTTTTCTTCTTTCTTTCTTTAATCCCATACACAGTGTGTATGGGGAACTGAGTTGGCGATACACATGTGGCCTAGTTTGTAGAGGGTTGCTGGAGAAATATACTTTCATATTGGTGCCCAAGACTGCTACTTGGAGTTTTACCTGAAACTCTAGTCAACTGGAGAGAAATAAGTCAAGGGTCCTGGAAGTGTTTTCAATCAGGTGCTTAGGGCTTAAAGGGAAGTTTTTTTGACTACCATTGAGATTGATCCAAGCTGGACAGAATTCTGTTGTACCCTTGAGAAGCGGCTGAAGTTTTCAGGTTTCTTTTGGGTTGCAGGGTTGTGCACAACCCTAGATTTTGGAGCTGTTCAGGTCAGTTTTGGGATCCTGTTAACCTAGTTATCCCTGTCTACTATTTGAAAACCTTCACTTGAAGTTTTGACTTAATGGAAGACTTCAGAACAGAGATTAAGCAAACTCTGAATCTGAACTGGGTCCGGGAGCACTTGTAGATTCTCTTTTGGTTGTGACAATTGTGAAACTTGATGGAACTAACTTACTTGGCTTGGCCACAGTCAGTGAGAATAGATTCTGTAGTAGTGGAAAGTGGGGTTATATTTCAGGTAGTAAGAAGCAACCTAAGGAGGATGATCCCTCCTATGAGAAGTGGATGCAGGGGAACTATTACCGTAATAGGTTGGTTGGTGAATTCCATGCAACCCCACATCAATCATCATTACCTATGGATGAACTCTGCAAAGGAGATTTAGGATAGTGTTGCGGAGACATACTCCTAGAAACTGAATATGGCCAGGGTGTATGAATTGAAGAATGATGTAATCAATCTTCAATAGGGGGAGAAACCATTGGCAATGTACTACTCTATGCTGAAATCTATTTGGCAAGAGATTGACTTAATGGGGACAATGATTTGGCAGTGTACAAAAGATGCCAAAACACATAGGTGAGGAAAGTAGGAGGCATGTTCTTATAAGTTGAATATTGATGATGGGGGCATTTTGCTAGATAAAGGTGTTTATTAGAGACTTGTTGGTCGACTTATCTACTTGTGTTTGACTAGGCCTGATATATCCTACTTCCTATGCATTAAGAGTGGTGAGTTAGTATATGCATAAACCCACAACACAACTTCACATATGCAGGCTATGAATATGATTCTTGCCTACTTGAAAGGATGTCCGGGCAAAGAAATGCTAGTCTCCAACCATGGACATCTCAAGGTTGAAACTTATATTGATACAGATTGGGCAGGTTCTGTGGATGCTAGGAGATCAGCCTCTGGTTATTGTGCATTGGTGGAGGTAAAGTTGTATCTTGGAAGAGTAAAAAACAATCTGTTGTGGATCGATCTAATATAGAAGCTGAATACAAAGTTATTATTCATGGTGTATCAAAGTTACTATGGCTGAAGACCTTGTTGATAGAGATTGGGGTGCAAGCTGATGTTCCAATGAGATTGTATTGTGACAACTAAGCAGCCATAAACATTGCCAATAATCCTTTCCAACATGATCGCACAAAGCACATTGAGGTGGATACACTTCATTAGAGGAAGAATAGCCAGTGAAGAAATATTCTTACCTTTTATGAAGTCAGAATATCAACTTGCTGATTGTCTCACCAAGGGAGTTCACAAGCTCAAGCTCCATAGAAACCAAGCTGGGCATGGTAGATATCCATGTTTATCTTGAGGGGGAGTGTTGAGAATGTGCAGTTGGGCAGGGGTTCAAGCACCTAGTTAAAGGCATTCTTGTAATTTTTGATCTAAATATAAATTGTTCTTTTTGTGGTGTTAACAATAACTTATCCCACTTATTCGAACATCTTCTCTTCCTTCTCTTCTCTTCTTTTTCTTCTCATTCTTCTTCTTATTTTCCTCTCTTCTTTCATTTTCTTACACTTTATTGAGTTTTGCAATGTATTGGCCAAAAGTTTAGGTTGGGGATGGTGCCCCAAATCCCCTCATGAACTTGTTTGGGCTTGCCTCAAAGGCCTTTATGGAGGTGGAGGGCCAATCCCCTAGGATTAGGAACATCACACTAGCTACTTGAAGTAAACAATCAGGAGACATAAACACATTGGAAGTTTCACATGTTTGGATTTTTGAGTGCTTGAAGCACTTTGGTACAAATACAATCCACATATATTTGCTTTCACTTCAACATTTTCACTTTGAATATATTTTAAATGTTGTGCTTATGTATTTTAATTTGAGTCAATAGACTTTTTAAAGCATTTTGTTTTCTTCAAGGAAGAAAAGAAGAAAGGAAGAAATTCATCAAAAAAAAAAAAAGAGAAGAAAGGAAGAAGAAGAGAGAAGAAGGAAGAGAAGAGGAAGAGAGAGCGGCTGTTTGGGAGCCAAAAAAATAGGCTTGTGGCGCCCAACCTTCTATTTATATTAATGAGATGAAAAATAAAAGATAAGGAATTACAAGCTTGCCCCTAGTGGCACACCCTAATAAAACAATAATAAAAAAAGCAGTAAACAAGCTGACAACACTCTAAGACTGACAGCATAAACTATAACAGCAGAAACAATTGACAAATCATTCTAACAACACTCCCCTCAAGTTGGGCTGAATATATCTATCATGCCCAACTTGTCACATAGCTCATTATGTCGCAAGTATGGAAGTCCCTTTGTGAGAACATCAGCCAACTTCTCCTTGGAGTTAACATAAGGAGTGCAAATTTCACCCTTTTCTAATTTTTCTCTTATGAAGTGCTTGTCCACTTCAATGTGTTTTGTCTTATCGTGTAGGACAGGATTAGTAGCAATGTTTATAGCTACCTTATTATCATAGTAGAGAGACATGGGGCTATTAACTGGGAACCCAAGCTCTCCTAGTAAATTCTTCGACCAAAGTGCTTCAGTCACTTCATGTGCCATAGCCCTATACTCAGCTTCAACATTAGATCTTGCAACCACATTTTGTTTTTTACTCACCCATGTCACTAGATTTCCTCCCATGAAAGTGCAGTACCCACTTGTAGATTTCCTGTCATCCACAACACCTGTCCAATCAGCATTTGTATAGACTTCCACTTTCAGATGGTTGTGCTTATGAAATAGAAAGCCAGCTCCTGGATACTTGTTTAGGTACCTAAGAATTCGTTCTGCAGCCTCCATGTGTGGTGTCTTAGGAGAATTAGGAGAATGCACAAACCGACTTAGAACACCAACCGGATAAGCTATGTCCGGGGGTGTCATGGACAAGTAAAGCAATCTTCCCACTAGTCTTTGAAACTGTTTCACATCCTTTAGAGGTTCACCATCACAATCATCCAATTTATGACCAACATCCATAGGGGTGTCAACTGGTTTTGCACCTAGCTTGCCTGTGTCTTGTAGCAGATCTAGGATGTACTTCCTTTGAGAGATGAAGATACCCCCTTTTGAGCGGGCAACCTCAATCCCAAGGAAGTACTTTAGGGGACCTAGATCTTTCACCTCAAATTGGGAGGCCAAGAACTCCTTCAACCTTTGTATTTTAGAGCTCTAGTTCCCTGTAATGATGATATCATCCACATACACTATCAACACTGCAACTTGTTCGTGACATCTTTTAACAATGAGAGTGTGATCAGATTGACATTGTTTGAATCTTACCTGTTGAACTGCCATATGGAATCTGCTGAACCATGCTCTAGGAGATTGTTTTAGGCCATAGAGAGATTTTCTCAACTTGCACACCTTATTCTCACTTCCTTTTGCATAGAAGCCTGGTGGGTGAACATTATAAACCTCCTTGTCCTCTAGATCATCATTTAAGAAAGCATTTTTTACATCAAGTTGATGCAATTCCTAGTCAAGGTTTGCAGCCAATGATAACAAAAATCGAATTGAATTCATCTTTTCTACAGGGGCAAATGTCTCATCATAATCAATACCATAAACTTGGGTGTACCCTTTTGTTACCAGCCTTGCTTTGTATCTTTTTATTGTTCCATTAACCTTGTGTTTTAATGTAAACACCCACTTACATCCCACAGGGTCTTTCCCTTTGGAAGATCCACTAACTCCCAAGTGTGATTCTTATGGAGGGCATTGGAGGGCATTAATCTCCTCCTTCATAGCATTTGTCCATTTAGGATAAGTTAGAGTCTCTGCCACATTTTTGGGTATGGGAATACTATCAATAGCAGATAAGAATGCACGATGAGAGGGGGAAATATGGTCATAAGATACATAGTGGGTAATGGGGTGTTTGGTAGTACACAATCTGGCTCCCTTTCTATGAGCAATCGGGATGTCAAGATTATCCACAACCGAAATGGGAACAAGGGA